TCAAAAGAAAATTAAAAACCTAGCTAGATAGATATAGAGTGGTTTGGCTAATTATCTTTCATACTGGTCGTGTTAGATCAGGTCGAGTGTGTGTGCGTGTTAGTGTATATACGCAATACCGGTCCTAAATCAGTTATCGAAAGGCTAATGTCATACTCTGATCATCAAGGCCAAATGACCCAAGAGAAAACCATGACCGAGAATGCGTAAGTCCGTTAGCAAGTATGGTTGATTTAATAAAATATGAGCTTATAAGCATGTGAGTCAAGTTACGAAATCACTTGCCCCAACCTCTTAGTCTAGGGTCATTAACGATTAACCCTCCAAGGAAAGGCATGACTGGTTTGGTTAATGAGCTTACTGTAACATATTGGCCGAGTGTGAATAAGGTTGGAAACATCACCGAGCAGACAAATTGAGTCGCCTACTTTTGGATGGCAGCTCAAACCCTCTCTCTCTTTCAATCTATCAATCAAGCATGAGTCTTTCCTATTCAACTTTCTACCACCGTTTCTCACATTCAACGTATTTCCTAAGCTATTACTTTCAATATCCTCTCTTATCTTTCTTTTAACCACAGACGTACTATAATCAGAAAACTACTAGTTTGAGATCATTCTATTTCATTTCCAGTTTTTATCATGTATTCGGCCACTTCTGATCGTTGGACACGGCTCCTTTGCAAACATTTTTGTGTTGCCCCAATCTATGTCGAATAGGTCGGAATGTCTCACCAACATAACATCGACCACATGAGCAGACAATCTTGTAGCAGCCAGATCTCGATAAAGGGTCATATTTTTCTCTAAAAAATGGCAAGGCAGAAGAAAGTGTGAAGGTTTCCTGGAAAACAGTTTTTATCCCCCCCTTTCTTACTAATTCGCTTATCTTTTTCGAGAGAAGGCATCAAGATAAAATTAGGACATGGGAAAAGGTCTCAGTCTGTCTATCTTTAACTAAATGGTCTCCGCCTAAAAATGTATTCCTCAGTAGAGAAATATTATTTTCAATAAGGCCCAAAGGATAATTATTTCATAGAAGAAAATTGTCAGCCGTTCCAACTCGCTAGTTAAATGTTTGCTATCCGCTATCCTATTACTTCTAATAATCATTGACTTAAAATGCCAACCTTAGCCTTGTAACTATGGTTGGAAATAAAATTAGGCAAACAGGCAACATATGTTGGCTTCCTATAAACATCTCTGCCTAACTTACCCGTGAAGCATTCTAAGGTTAAATAAGATTGGCTTCTATACACTCTTCAGACAAAATGGATTCATGAAGGTGGCGAAGAGGGTGAGAAAATGTGGGACAATGCCAAGTAATATATATTATTTGTACCATATCAATTATTTTAGGTCAGTGTACACGAAGAGGCGGTGCCCTGTGAGGATAAAGACGTGCTACAATGGACAAACGAGCAGCTGAAGAGCATTGGGCAAAAAGAATTATCTGGATTCCGAGACCAAAGCCTGTGCTCAGGTCTTCCGGTCTTGCACGTCCTAGAGGCAATAGGCTCTGGCCCCATAGACCGTGACCTCGTCACATCTGACGACTTCGCCAACTGTGTCTTTGTAATATCGCAAGCACGAAAATGCGGTGCTCGTGTATACGCGCTCCCAGAGCATCTTCAACAGCTGCACAGCAAGATGATCCTCACTATTTTTGTTTGTCTCATGATTCTGCATTACCGGCGCAGGTCGACCATAATCTGCACAGAATGAACTCTGCGAAAAGAACAGTTGTTATCGTCTGATTCTTCCCAAACATAGACTTGATTAAAATCAAGGGAATACTTTCCAGAATCTCGTCTTCTGGAAAGTTTTCTGCTTTCTAAGAAGTGTTCAATTGCGCATGGAGTAAGCCAAGCAGCAATTATCTTTGAAACCACAGCATAAATAGCCAGCACCAGCGATCTCATTCATTCATTTTAATCTCTCAACTCATAATCTCATCAGCCAGCTATGAATTATTCTTATAACTCTGAGGCTAAATATACTAAGTTTATTTTTATACTACCTTCCAGGTCCGTGCATTCTGACCAAGTTAGGTTATCTCAATCTAATAATTCGAGCCTGTTAAAATGAAACACCTGAAATGAGCCTGATTACCGAAGTAAAAGTAAAATCCCAATAGGTATTTTTGGCATATTAAATAATTATACCACTGCACAAAAGGCAAGCACTGGCGAAGGTGAAATAGAACCACGCGCAGGGATACAGTAATCTTTCGTCCAAGCTTGTAAATCATTGTCCCTAACAATACTGACATCTCTCAGAGGTCATTAGAGCGAATATGGGATTTAGGGCTCCAAATATTATTTAATTTGTCATAAGGCTAAATGAGTTCGTGTGAAGAATGAATAAAAAATAGCTTATTGGTTTATAAGTAATCAAATTGGTTTGACCATCCATGAAGACTTGTTACTAGATGATAAAATAGTCGGCGAAAACGTGCCTTTTTAACGAAGGATACCAGCGAATGATACCGATAGTCCTAAATGCAGCAAATGAAGTGATTTGCGCTCGAAATTAGTACAAGGAATTCCGCTTCTGGTTTATTAGAGATGTATCCCTAATATAGAGCATTTATCAATGAGCACAGAAATGATGGTATTCGGAAAGAGGCAAGTTTGACAGGCTCAAATGAAAAAGGTTGTTGGCACTCGGAGTATCAGAAATGAGCATAAACTTCTTCCTTAAGTATAAAGAATTTATGCACATTATAAAGACACACCGATTTAAAGGCAGGAATCGTAAGGCAATAACTTATATTAAAAAGAGCTAGCAAATGACTACATGACACTTATGATGACAGATAATTACATTTCGGGCCCTTATGTTCTGCATAAACCAAACACAAGTATGAGGTTATGCACTACATGACGATGGATCTTGCTGAAATTGAGCAAGTGAAGATAATTCTCAGTTAATCTTCCAAAATTTTGTCTAGAACGTAAAGGTATTCTTTATGGGGAAATCGAAAAAAAATATCCCCCTGACCAATTTCGAAACAAAATACTCCATTATTGTGACGTGAATTATGCTGGAAGTAGCAATACCTTGCTGTATTGTATATAGGCTTGCAAAATCATCGTTCGCCTAAATCTGATCGACAAGAAGTATTAAAAATCTAGCAATGCGGGATAATTATTACAAAGTAAAATTGACGAAATTACAACAATTGACGAAAAATCAAACCATCAGACCTTTATCATTTTGGATAAATACAGATCTCATTCAAGATCTGATAGTTTGGAAATCTACTCAATAAAAATATAATTTAATATGAAATGTATTCAATCTATTTCGTTTAAGGTGATGAAGGAAAGGTAGTCGAATTTTCCCACAATGATATAAGTAGAGATGATGCTTTCATTCAATTTCGCATAGCCTTGCTTTTCCAAGTTGTTCTGATCCAAAGTAGACTGCAGTTTCAACCTCGCATAGATCTAATTAACACTACTAGTCCTTCATCAACTTAAACGAAACAGGGTGAGTACATCTAATGCTACTAATTTACTGGTAGTTTCGAAACTCTACATACATACGAAAAATGAGTAACGTAGTCCGTTGTTATAGTAAAAATTCGTTTGCTTCATCAACAAT